TCCTATGCAGTATGCTATGCATACCGTGATCTCTCTTAGCGCACATCTTCCTGGTCAACAACCGGTGTATTTGAAAGGCGCGCTTACGCGGGAAGTGAGACCAACTAGCAAACTCTTGGCTTATTTTTCCGTGGTCAACACGAACGAACAAGCAAGACGGATGACATGGATCGAAGTGGCAGAACAGTTTCGTTGGACTGGTAAAGAATACGTTGAACTACAAAGGAGCGGCCGTCGTATTGCTCGACTGTGGCCTGTCAGGCCAAAAATGAGGGAGTTATATGCCTTGAGGAAACTTCTATTTCACGTTCGTGGAGCTTCATCTTATGAATACCTTCGTACAGTCAACGGCATCACTTACGATACTTTCATGGAAGCAGCAGAGGCGGCCGGATATATCGAGAGCGAGACGGAATGGGAGGAATGTTTGAAGAGCGCTGCAGTGTTAGAACTGCCACACGCTATACGTGGACTTTATGCACAAATTCTTCTTTATTGCCATCCCACAAATCCCCTACGTTTATGGCACAATTACAAGATTGCGATGAGAACTCGGCAACGTAACACACACGTTGACAAGCCCGACGACGTGCTCGATATGCTATCACTGAACCACATCGAATCAATTTTGACGAGCAATGGTTCCTCTTTGGAAGACTGTGGGCTGAAGGATGTGAGAGACGCTTTATTACGCGATTGCGGTAGCTACTTGGCATCTGGAAGAGTTAGCCCGGATGTTGACATGCCTGCAGAGAACACTGCGCATCCCTTGACAGGTGAACAAGAGCGCATTGTAAACGCCATCGTAACAGCTGCTGCACTTCCCAAAGGAGTCGGTAACAAGCTTTACTACATTGATGGAAAAGCCGGATGTGGTAAGACTCACACACTCAATGCGTTGATTGTCCACCTGAAAGCAGTGGGCAAACAAGTATTAGCAACGGCATCTACAGGAATAGCGGCGACGCTGCTAAAAGGTGGAAGAACAGCGCATAGTCTTTTCTGCCTCCCCATCAAACAGCTTCACAGTTCTTCAATTGCAAATGTTGAACCATCATCGCCTACCGGTCAGATGCTGCACTCTGTGGACGTTATAGTCTGGGATGAAATCTCCATGCAATCTCGCTTCGCTCTGGAGTGCGTAGATAGGCTTTTGCGTGATGTTGCTGTACCATCGCTCACGCATGTTCCCTTTGGTGGTGTGACTATGGTGTTGGGAGGGGACTGGTGCCAGTTTCTGCCCGTTATACATGGCGGTACACGCCAAGAAACTATCGATGCTGCATGCAGAAGTAGTCCTCTGTGGGAGAAATTCATCACCTTCACTCTTCACCAAAACCTACGTCTATGTAATAATGAGATGGGATACGCACGTTGGCTTCTCTCTGTAGGCATTGGTGGGAATTCACAGGAAGATGGGGACCTTTTGATTCCGCGTTGTATGTGTATGAGCTCGGAAAA